GTTGCAAATTTATGCTAATGGGGTTGGGGGAAAGAAAATTCCTGGGGAATTGGTGGTTCCTTGTTACTCTGTTGGGTCATTACCACTGATCTTACTCTGACAGGGGGACTCAGGGATTTTGTTTCCTTGTACTTCTTTGTTTTGTGGGGTGGAGAGGCTACTGGAGTCACTAGGAAGTTTCTAGGAAGTTTACAGAGTTTCAGATGGAAAGTACACTGTAGCAGTACTCATAGGAGCATAGGATTGTCAATCTAGAACTGGAAAAGCCCTCAGAATCCGTTTAGTCCAACCCAATTGGGAAATTGAGGCCTAGTGAACTTAAGTGACTTACCCAAGATCACACTGGTAGTAAGAGTCCGGGGTAGGCTATGTAACCAGGTCCTCTAACTCCAGAGTTGGTGTTCTCTCCGTGGTACCATAAACCCTGAAGTCTAGACCTGACTTTTCCACTATGATTTCGATAAGTCTCTCAGTCTCTCTGAGCTTCAATTACCTCACCTCTAAATGGGGATAATAATACCTGCCCTGTCTACTTGATAGGGTTGTTGTGAGTCCTTAATGAGATTTAGTATTAGAAAGGTTCTTTGAAAGGTATATAGAATGTTATTCAAGTATAAGGAATGATTTTATTATTCTTTCTGTATTTGTTTCTAGTTTCCACTGGTGGCTGAATTATTCCAAGATGATAAAGACACAGCACCTGCTACTTCTTCATCTGGGAAGGGGGCATCTTCAAAAATTAGTGTCCGCTCTGCTAGACCTCCTATGAAGGCTGCCAACAAGGAGCACAAGAAAACTGTGGGGCATCAGGTCAGTGTCTCCCAACTTCATGGGGGGGGCGGAAAGGGCTGTGAGATACACTTGAATTTGATTCCTTGTGAACGTCATCAAAGTAGTGATTTTTGGTCACATAAAACAGGCCTAATAAAGATGGGGGAGAGAGAAAAAGAAAGAGGGAGGGAGAGAGGGAAAGAGAAAGGAAGAGAGGAGAGGAGGGGAAGAGAATACAGAGAAAGACACAGAAAAAAGAAAGAGAGAGGAAAGGAAGAGGAAAGAGAGGAAGAAGAGGAAAAAAGGAGAGAAGGAGAAGAGAAGGAAGAAAAAAAGGAGAAAAGGTTAGAGAGGGAAGGAGAGGGCAGAAGAGAAGAAGAAGGAGGGGGAAAGGGAGGGAGAAGAGGAGGAAGAAGAGAATGAGGAGGAGAGAGGGAAGAGAGAGAAGGAGGAGAAAAGAGAGAGAAGAAAAGGGGAAGGAAGAAGACTCTACAGTTGTGATTTAGTTGAAATAGGGGACATCCCAAAAAAGAACAGAGAAAACTCTCTTTACCAATGCAGATTCTTACCTTCTCAGCAACTTGATGTTTTACAGAGTTTTCTGGAGCACTGACAGGTTTAAATCCTTTGGCCAGGGTCATATAGACACTGTTTGTTAGAGGTAGGACCTGAGCTCAAGTCTTTCTGACATTGAAATCACTTATCAGTCCACTGTGTCACTCTCTCTCATATTCATATATAGGCAGAAACAACCTCATCATTATAACCAAATGTGTGTGTTGAACATAGATCCTTTATAGGTGGAAATTACGAGGTATTTTCTAGAGGATACTTGCTTGGAGAGGAGAGAGAGGAGGAGGGAGAAGTCCTTAAAACCTGGAGGAAAGACTGGATACTGGGTCAGGGATGCAGGAAGTCTAAATGACATGACATCAGAAATGTTCGAGAACAGTTTAAATAAATGCAGGAATACAGGAAGAAGAGTTCAAACCCATTGTCCTACCAAGAGGTTTTGACTCTAAGCCTAATATGTGTAGTGGGGCTCAGCATGTGCCCCTCCAATCCTTCCATGATCCAATAGAGGTTCTGGCTTCTGTTTATTCTTAGAATCCTTGGATATGAAAAATAGGTTCTCATCTATTCTACTTACCAAACACCTCCCACGTAATATCAGAAATCCAAGTCAGCTCCAGTACCAATAATGTTAATTCCTTATAATTAAATTGTGTTTTCATGTCCATTAAATCTCATTTGATCTCTGCAATGATATAGGTAAGACAGTTATTATTCCTGCCATACAGAAGGCAGGGAGAGTTGAATTGGTCTATCCAAGGTCATATAAAAAGTCTAGTGGCTAATGGGTGACTTAAACCTCAGTCTTGAAACTCCTGATCCATTACTTTTTTGATTGATTGTTTTAAGGGTAATGTCTGTTCCTTTCATCATTCCCAGTTCCGCACCTCCCTGAACCTGCTCATGGAGACGCTGAATGCCACAACACCCCACTATGTCCGCTGTATCAAGCCAAATGATGAGAAGCTTCCCTTCCAGTAAGTGTTTCTTTTGCAATAGCCCCGTACTTCTTGTCTCTCAGGATTCAGATTGGGTTATAGCCCATGTACTGTAAGGTGAGCTGAAGGGCCAGAGAGAGCAAGAGGGAAATCTGTTTTTGGATACAGATGTGGAATATAAAGGTGAGACACAGCTTTGCAGATTGAGGTATGTGGTCTCCAGTCAAGTAACTAGTACAGAATATTCCCCAGTAGCAATTCACAAATTCATTCCAAGCCAGTGAGGATTTCTGGAGCTCCTACTATGTGCTTAGTTCTCTGCATGGCACTGTGCACAATACAAAAGAAAGGGAAACCAGGTGGTGCATTGGAGGACAAAGAACAAGTAGTACTGGACTTGGAGCTAGAGGAATCTGGGTTCAAATCCCATCTCTGTTATTTACTACTGGTGTGACTCCAGATAAATTGGTTCATATCTTTGGACCCAAGTTCATCTATAAAATGAGGGAGTTAACCCTACGTGGTCTTTAAGATGCCTTCTAACTCTAAATCTATGTTCCTGTCATCCTAAGGGGACAGTATTTCACTGACCTCACAGATATTGTTTTCTTGGAGAGATAAAGATAGACACACTTGAAACAGAGCTTTGTTAAAACACTGTATGTTTAAGCGCTGAAGTGAGTGGTACAGATCATGGGTGCTGAATTGGGAGTGGGAGGGGAAACTCACAGAGAATAGAGTGAGATATTATGATATAAAAATTAAATGTTAATAAAACATGAAAGTAGATAGTGAGTGCTAAATACAAAAGTTGGAGAAATCACTGTGGACAGGAGTAATCAGGTGGTGCAGTGGATAGAGCACTGGCCCTGGAGTCAGGAGGACCTGAGTTCAAATCTAGCCTCATACGCTTACTAGCTTACTAGCTGTGTGACCCTGGGCAAGTCACTTAACCCCATTGCCTAGCAAAAAAAAAAAAGAGGACTTGGGTGGACCTTAAAGGATGAATAGGATTTTGATAAATGACATGAAGACCTTTTGGGATAGGGATGGGGGAAACAGCACAAGCAAAGGCACAGAAGTATGAATGAAGATGGCATGGTAGCAGGATGGACATCCCACCTTTCAATCAACTGCTTAAGAAGTATGGTACCAAGGGTTGGATTTTTTCCATTTCTATTCAAATTCTTTCTTATTCTTCTGTTACTCTAAAAGAGAAATCAGGTATCTTCTTGAGGTTTCTTTCATTAGTCCCTACTGTTAAATTGAAGTTGGCCTGCTTAAGTCTAAATGGAACTGGCCTTTGGAAAAGATGGTGGGGAGGGCACGTGAAAGTGAGCCTTCCCTGGTTGGTGCTGTTATGTCCTGCCCTCTCTTCTTTCCCCCCTTTTTCCCTCCTGGTTTTTGAGATAAGCTTAGGAATTTTCCCTGCATGACATCTGTTCCTTGGCTGACTCCAAATGAGGAGGGGCAGAAAGGCTGTTAGAGGAGCAGCATGTATGAAGGACACAGTGTCTGTGAAGGGCATGAGGCGCCATGCAAAGAGCACTGGGATAGGAGTCAGGAGGCTTCTGTTCCAGCCTGAATAACTCTGTCACTGATTAGTTGTGTGACTTTAGATATGTCACTATGCCTTATCAGGCCTTGGTTTCCTTAACTGTAAAATGACATGATAGATGACTTCTAGATTCCTTTTGAGTGAAACTTGTTTTATTCTGATTACTTTTTTTTTATCAATCAGCAAGCATTTATTCATTAATTACTGGGTTAGGCACTGGGGATACAAGGACAGAAATGAAACCATCCCTGCCCTCAAGGAGCTTGCATTGGAGGAGAAAATATGTACATGTATAAATATATATGATATATAAATATATATTATAATATGTATAATTGTAATATAAGTATTCAATATCTAAATAATAAAGAAATATAATTTTATATAATGTATGATAAAATAAATAATATATAAATATATAATAAAAATAAATTCTCCCCTTTTCCTCCCTTGTGGTGCAGTGAAGAGAACATGGGACCAACAATTAATTGACCTGCCTTCCAGATTAGGCTCTTCCACTAATTTGTTGCATGGAGTTAGGCAAGTCACTTAACCTCAGGATTCTCCCCATTTCCTATCTATAAAAGTAATAAAAATAAATAAAAACTAATAAGACTATCCCTTCCTCTCTTCAGGAATGCTGCCCTCCTCAAGTGATATAATAGATATGGAAGTATTTGGAGATGAACAAAATTCATTTCAAATACAAGGGGTTCAAATACAACAGCAGGGACCATGGTTTTGCCTTTCTTAGAATCTCTGTTGCTTAGCACAGTACCTGGAACATTGTTGTTTAGTCATTTCAGGCTCTTCATGACCCTATTTGGAGTTTTCTTGGCAAAGATACTGGAGTGGTTTGCCATTTCCTTCTCCATCTCATTTTACAGATGAGGAAACTGAGGCAAACAAGGATTAAATGATTTTCCCAAGGTCACTCAGCTAGTAAGTGTCTGAAGCCAGATTTGAACTTGGGAAGATGAGTCTTCCTGACCATAGGTTGGGCATTCTATCCACTGTGCCACCTAGCTGCCCTGGCACATAGAAAGTACTTAATAAATGCTTGTTGACTGTGACTGATCAGCTGACATCTTTTGATTGCTTTCATTCTCTTCCTGTAGCCTCTCCAACAGCCACTAGAGCTAAATGTGCTTCTCTCCCATGATTAGCTCACCTCTCAGGTTCACCAGCTCCTCAGCTGTTTGAGGGCATTGGCCTGATTGCCTGAAAGTGAACTTGATGGTTTGGCATCCAGTGATCCAACATAGTCATAGTGTCCTGAGCCCAGGCTGCCAGATCTTGCAGGGCTTGGGGGAAGGGGAAGGAGAATTTGCAGCATGTGGAGCAATTATTTAAGTGGGATATGACTCCTGAGAGGGTACCAAGTTCTGGCATAGAGAGTCTACACCCAGCTGTCTTCTCAGGCTACTGAAAATGCATGTCTCAGCAGGAAGAGAAATGTAAATTTAGATTCCTCCCAGAGGATAGGGAAGATGTGCAGTTTGACCATATGGTCCTTGGTGAATTTTCAGTTAGGGATATCTTGTTCACTGGCCATGCCATTGTATTTTCTCCTTCCACAGGGAAAAGGGGCTGATCCCTCCCAAGTACCTTGTCCCTTAGTGTATGTCTCTCCTTAAATAAATGACTCTAAAGTGCAAGATATTGACCTGATGCAATTATAGGGCCCTAGATTTAGAACTGAAAAGGCCTCTAGAGGCCATCGAGGCCAATTCCCTCATTTTACTGATTAAGAAACTGAGGTGCAAGAAGGTTAACCTGTCCAAGGTTATACAGGTAGGAAATAAGAGAGCTGGGATTCAAACCCAAGTCCTTGACTCCAAATTTAACCCTTTTCCCACACTGCACCAATGCTGCCTGTCAATCAGAATAGAAATGCTCTCTTTAAGGCAAAGAAAAACTGGAGGACAGGAGACTCTGCTGCTTTCACTTTTAGTCTCTGGAGTCTTAGGAAAGAGGGAAGAATAATAATACTTCCCATTTCCCTTTTAACTTTCCAAAATCACTTCTCACATCTATCATTTCATTTGATCTTCACAATAACCCTGTGAACTAGTTAGGGCTGGTATTTTTATCCCCATTTTGAATTTGAGGAAATAAAGGTGAGACTTTATTGACCTCTTCAAGAAGAAATGGAGGTGAGATTTTAGTGACCTCTTCAAGAAAAAATGGAGGTGAGACTTTAGAGGTGAGAATTTAGTGACCTCTTCAAGATAATGAAACTACTTGCTCCAAACAGCCAGTACTAGAACTTGAGCTTCTTGATTCCCAGTCTGGTCTCTTTTTACTAGACCACTCTCCAGCCCCTATAAGTTCAGCAGAATACATATTTTCATCCCTACTTCACAACTCTGAGGAATTTGGGGCACAGAAAAGTGAAGAATCCCCTAGCATCTTTGAGCTGTTGGCTGTGTTATCCTGTTGAAATCTTCTCTATCATTTGAGGCCCAGCTAAATGACGCCTTCTCTGTGATACCTTCTCTAATATCACTCTCTCTCTCAGACAAAATTTTCCTCTCTAGTTCTTGGAGCGACAGTTTAGGAAGATCATTGGTAAGATGGAGAATATCTAGAGGAAGGAACCCACAATGGTAAAGGGTCTTGTGTCCATGCTGTATGGTGATTCTTTTAAGAAACTGGATATCTTTCACCTGGAGAAAAAAAGATGACTTGCAGGGTAGGATTTGAGGGCTATGATACTTAAGTAGCTCAAGGCTCTCTGAGGCAGCCACCTCATGGAAGAAGGCTTGGATTTGTTCTGGTTAGCCCTGAGTGATAGAACTAGGAGTCATGGGTGGAATTTGCAGAGAGAGAGATTTGAGTTTGATGTAAGGAGAAAATTACTAACCATTGGAGCTATCCAGATAGGGAATGGAATGCCTTGCAAGTAGTGAGTTCCTGTTTACTGGAAGTTTTCAGGCAGGGGTTGGATGACTACTTATCTGGTATATTTTAGTGAGGATTCTTTCTCAGCTATAGACTGGACTCAGTCAACCCTGGGATCCTTCCAATCCCCAAATTCTGTGATTATTCTTCCTGGACACTCCCATAGCACTCTGGTTATTTCTATTATGTATTTACTATATTCCACCCTATATGATAATTACTGATACATATGTATGCATACATATACATATATGTGTATATACATATATGTGTGTGTGTATTGTGTGTACACACACACATACATCTCTTCTCTTTGACTCTGTGTTTTTTGAGGACAGGGAGAGATAGTGGCATCATTAGCCTTGGGTTTCCCCCAGCCCCTCTTGAGGTGCCTTGTAATTGCAATCAATAAACATTTACTAAGTACTCATGTTTAGAGGCAATGATAAGCACTTATGAGGAGTTGCAGGGATTTGGAAGGCGGGGTCTTTACCTTAGTGGAATTTATGATATAATAGGAGATGAAGGCAGGGATATACAACTGGAACACAAGTACATAAGAGAAGTCCACATGTGATGCTAAGTCAGAAGAGGAAAATGTCATTTCTGACTCCTGGATTCTATATTTAGTAGCATGTGTCNCACATGTGATGCTAAGTCAGAAGAGGAAAATGTCATTTCTGACTCCTGGATTCTATATTTATTAGCATGTGTCATTGCGTATGTTTATATGTATATATATATATATGTGTGTGTGTGTGTGTGTATGTGTATGTATACATATATATAATAAGTGTTTGAATGATTTAATGAATGAATTTGTTCTTACATAGGCTCACAAATAGAAGGCAGGTAGGGGGAGGTTCAAGTAGGGAAATTTAATACAGAAAGTTGTATTAGCAGATATTATGTATTTGCTTTGTGCATAGCTTTTGTAAGCTTACATATGTTCTTATTTCCTCTCAATGGAATGTAAGTTCTTTGAAGGTAGGTAAATGTATCTGTTTGTTTTGAATCCTAATCCTATAGTGCTTGGCACAGAGTAATAACCTAATAAATGCTCATGGAAAGAAAATTGATTAGGAAACCCATATGAGAAATGCACTGCCATTTCCTGGTTGAACTGGCTTACCCAACTAAGAAAAGAATCACTGTCCTCTTCAGGGAGAAAGTAACAAATGAGCATGGGGAGGAACTGGTCAGGCCTTTCTTTGCCCTGGAGTTACAAAGTATCCATCTTCATTATCCAACTGAGACAGCAGTCTGACCACTCCCCAGTCAAGGTTTATGCTGAAGTCAACATTAATCTTAAGGATTCCAAATCATGGCCCTGGGATGAAACCTCAACTGTGCTCTTTCAATCCCCAGGGGGGAGAATACAGTGAATGTTTGTAAAAGTTTTGCTTTAATTAGCTAGAAGCTAGCTGCATCTTATTAGTTGTTACCATAAATGTCTTAGGCCCAGAGGTCAATCTCATCTTTTCCATATTTAGTGTTGTCAGAGAATTGATGAAAATGATGACAGAGAGGATCAGTCATCTTATCAATGAGTATTTTATTAAATTATTATTATGTGTATTAGAAATATTATTTGATAATATTAAATAATATTCTTAAAATGTTATTAGAGCAGTGAAGTACCATGGAAAGAGCCCTTGTCTTGGAGTCCAAAGGGTAGAGTCTGAGTCCCAGTTCTCCACTAAAGCAAGTTACCTAATTGCCTAATATTTGTTTTTAATTTTATTTTATGCATTTTTTTCATTTTTACACTTTTTTAGTTTTATTGATGTGTTTTATTAGTCTTTAAAATGGAGAGAATAACATTCCCACTGTCATCCTCACACAGTTGTTGTGAAGAAAGCCCTTTTTAAACCTTAAAAACACTGCAGAAAGTGAAGTTATTTTTAGGCAGCCCATACCAAATGTCACCTCTTCTATGAAGCCTCCTCTGATCACCTCAGCTGACTGGGAGAGCTCTCCTTTGTTGGATCTCCTATGAAGCTTTGTTTATTCCTCTTATATCATGTTTTTCATATGCTGCCTTGAAGTGCAGTTATTTGTCTTTCTGTCCCTTATTAGGCAGTTAGATCCTAGAGCACATTTTTGTATCCACCATAGCAGCCACCACAGTGCCTTGTATTAGTAAAGTCTCATTGGCCGTTGGTTGAATGAACAGTGTGTCCAGGACTGGGCTGGTGCTGTGAGGGATACCAGAGAAATAGGAGATGCAGTCCCTGCCCTCAAGAGTCTTGTACTCTACAGCTGAGGAGACAAAGGTTTGAATGTGTCAAACATCGATAATATGCTGACGGTATGTAATGGAACACTGGATTGTATCATGTTGATTCTGAGTGCAGGCCTTAGCTGAGTCTGGGCTTTAGAAATTCAGAGATCTGGGAGAGTATTGTGGGTTGGGGTTATTAGGGATGGTTTTATGAAAGAGAAATAACAATGTGGGCCTTGGAACATGAGTAGAATTGGTCTAGGCTAAGGAGAGCAAATTCCAAATAACGGAAACAGCACAAACAAAGCCCAACTTCTGAAACTGTTGGCATGGTTCATGTGTTTGTAGTCTAACTTCAGCCCCTCAGCTCACAGGTACAGGCTAATTTTTATATGGCCTATTGGCAGCAGAGACATAAGAAAGCAACTTGGGATGAGGGGGAGTATTTAATTTTTTTTTATGTTTCTGTTACAGTAGTTTGCAGATTTTGAAAAAAACTTTTTGATTTTGCAGCTTTGATCCAAAAAGAGCAGTCCAACAACTCAGAGCCTGTGGGGTACTGGAGACCATCCGTATCAGTGCAGCTGGTTATCCATCCAGGTAATGTGTCTGCCAATCCAAGAGTTCTTAACCTGGAGGCTGTGACTTTATTCTTTTTTTAAAAAGAAGTACCTATTCTTAAACATTTAATTTTTATATTTTCTCAACTGAATGTAAACAAAAAAATTTAACATTAATTTTTTAAAATTTTGTATTCCAAATTCTCCCCATCCCTCCCTTCCCTTCCCCCATTCTTGAGAAGGCAAGCAATTTGATACAGACTGTGCATGTACAGTCATGCAAAACAAAAAATGTAAATATTTTAACAAATGAATTTTGAAATAGTTGGTTTCCCTTGTAATCCTATGTATTTGCACATTTAAAAAATATTACTCTGAGAAGAGATCCAAAGCTTTACCTGACTGCCAAAGAGGTCCATGATACAGAAGAAGTCAAGAACTCTTATTCTAATCCAGACTTTTTGGGATTCCCAGATGTGGCATCTCCTTTAAAGCCATAGTCCTCTGGGTGTGTGTGCATACCACCAATGTCTTCAGGATGTGATGAAGTAGCCCTGGGGCTGGTCTATAATGCAGGTCACAGAAATGAGGATGGAGGTATCAATAACTATATTTTCCATCTCAGAAGAAATTGTGCATTAAAGGACAATGTGCTATTAGCTGTTACTTGAGAATGTTAGGTTTGTGCATGTAGCATTCAAATCCACGTTTTCTTTAAGTACTTTTTTCTCTCCTGTAATCAAAGTATACTGCCATTGGGAGGCAATAGGCATCTCAGTTTTGTTCCAGTGGTCTGAAGTAAAGATTTTTCTTTTCTCTGAAGACTCTTCAATCCCATCTTTGGCCCCTAATTAAAACTTGTCCTTAGGAAAGGAACTGACAAACCCATTCATACTCTAAGGAATCACTGTGTGAAAGGACTGAAACAGTAAATATCCCTAAAAAAGATAACATGTTCATCTTTACCCATCAGTGACACCATTAGTCTTTCATGTCTTTTCCTAAGATCAACTCTTCTAATTTAATTGCACTTTGACAAAGATAGAAACCTTAGCCAAAAGAACAAATCTCTGTCTTTAGTAAATGTTTTATATTTTTGAATGAATGAGGGGAATTAAAGACGTCCATGAGTTTGGAGAGTGAGGTTTTCTTTTGTTTTGGTTTTTGCTGAAGGGGCACTGACAATGATTTTCCTGGTACCCCTGAAGTGGTTCTACTTCAACCTAATTAATCATACTGTCCTTGAAAAGTAATTCCTTGCTTTTTAGAAGAGTCTGGATTCCCCCCCCCAGACAGACTTCCCCTACTCCTGGTTATTGATGTTGTTACTCTAGGGCTTCACCATCTTGTCAGGAGTTGAGACTCTGCTTTGGGAGAAGATGCAGCATGGAGCTCCCTCCTGTCCTCCCAACCTTTCCACCAGGCACTGTCTGGCCCCTGCAGTGGAATCATTTCACAGTCCATGGCTAATTAACCACAAACAACTCAACCATAAGAAGGTTGCCAAATGTTGAGGATGGGAAGGAAGATGCTGATGGAAACAAGAATTTAGGTTTGGCCTGAAAAATGTAAGGCGTATGGATAAAATGCTTTCCCAAGCCATGTTTCAAAACCTGAAATGACACTCTCCAGGGTGATAAGCTAGTGAGAATGAGAAAATATATCTCTTTCCCTTCTCTCAACTACTGTGCATCCTTCACCCCACAGCCCTTGTAGAAAAAGACTTGAAACACCTTAGGGTATGCTTGATTTCGTTGCTGACCCTGGGGCACCAACAAAAACAGGTAATGACCCCATGCCTAATGAACTGGCTCTGCTTTCCCGTCCAACCTGACTAGAAGACTTTGAGCTGATGTGTGCCTCATCCCCTGCAGCATCTGGCATCAGCTGTTTAATTCAGAGAAAGCCAAGGGGAGGAAGGCTAAAAGTTCAGTAATTCACTTCATTGGTAAGGCTCCCAACGATGCCAGTTATGGTTCCCTTTATCACCTCCTAAATCTGTGAGTTAAGTCTGCATATCAGAGCTTGGATCTGACAAGCAGCATAGAATTTGCATGTGGGAAAGCAGCTTAGGAGCTCATCTAACCTAACGTCATCTTACAGATAAGGAGACTGAGGGCCATAGGGGAAGTGACTTGTCAGGGGTCACATTGGCTAAGCTGGGTCTAGAACTGAGTTTTCCTGTCTCCCAGTTTGATGCTCCATGAGGCTGCCTCTGTGACACAATGCTTTTGTGTTAAATGTCAATGAGCTATCTGTCAATAAATATTTACTGAGTGCCTACTGTGTGCCACCTGGGGATATGAATATGAAAAAGAAAGATAGTTCCTGCCCTCAAGGAGCTTACAATTTGATTTGAGAAGACAATACACATAAGGATGTTGAAGGGAGATGGTGTTAGGGAAGAGAAGGTGCCTCTTTAAATGGAAGCATTGGGAAGAGTTCTTTGCTCTACTCTCCAGCCCTCCAATCAAAGAGACAGATGAGGTGTGAGTCCTAAGGTTGATACAATCTCATAGCATGGTGAGTTTCGTGATGATGAGGATGCTGGGGATTTGATGGAATCCTGTCCAAAAGAGGGCAGAAAATGCTTTATGGGCTAATTTGTGGATAGCTTCAGTCAGGATACCTTTGATATCCAGAATAGGGAATGACAGTTCAGAGGTGAAGTTAAGCTCTTCAAGATTGTTTCCTTCTTGCTGGAATAAGGATAGGAAGGGAAAGGGAAGAGCTAAAAGCTTTTCCTACTCTCACCAGCTTAGAGTCTAAGGACATACCTGTAAGTGGTTTGCTCACTTCCCCAGACCTGCAGGCCAAGCTATGCCTCTAGCTGCAATTATCAGGTTAAACTACATCTATGCCAGGGATTCACAGGACCATTTATGAGATATCCGAGAGTGTGTCTAGCCTAAGGATTTCAAGGGGATATTATAAAATATCAATTCACTTTAAAGGCTACAATAAGAAATTAAAAAGATGCCACACATCACTCTTCAGGTCTGCTTTTGCACACTGAGCTGGTGTTGTTCCTAAATCAAGTATTGAAGGGTCACACAATTCCAAGCAATCATAGACAATCCTAGCTGCCTTGTATAAAGCAGGATTATTCGTGTTGGATCTTGGGCTCCATGGGTGGCAAGATGGGCCAGACAAAGAAATTTTCCATCTAGAGATTTTGTAGGCCCATGAAGAGCAGAGTAGGTAATTGGAGCAAATCTCAGCATCTGGCAATACCAGGAAGTCTGGGGAGATGGGAAAGCTGGCAATGGTCTCAGGTGGATGGTTCTGGTAGGCTGGTAAAGCAAAAAGTAAAAGAAACAGACTGAAATTCAGACAGATAGTACCAGGGAAGTCTAAGACAGGTAATGCAGCCTGGGATTCAGGGACTAAACAAAGCAGATTATTTGGGATATAAGGGAATAATTTGAGTACTGTAGAAGGGTGGAAAATAAAACATGGGCACAATGACCAGGGAATTACAATGTGAAAGGCAGGAATCTAGGGACACAAAACAAGTCAAGCATTTATTAAGTGCTTACTGTGTGTCAGGTACTGTACCAAGTGCTGAGGTTACAGATACAAGTAAAAAAAAATATAGACCTTGCCCTCATGGAGCTTACATTCTAATGGTAGAAGACAACACATAAAAGAGATCTGAAAAGCAAGTTACTAGAACACAGCTACCAGAGACCAGGTATGAGAGCAAACTGGAGCCAGCCACAGGGCTGATGCTGGCCCTTCCAAGCTGTAGCTCTATGGTGTTTTTGACTCTCCTTTGCCAAGGGACCAGATTAGTTCCAGAAAACAGTGGAGAGTTGAACCTAAAGGTGAGAATTTAATGGTTCCAGCTGTGGAGCCAGAGAGCCAGGCTGCTTAGTACACATTGCCATCTGCTCCTCTCCAGTTCTGTTGCCAGCCCATATGGGGCTATAAAGAGCTCTCCTGTTTTTTCTGGAATCACCTGATTTTCAGGAAAGCCAACTTGGGAGAACTGGGAGAAGCTGCCACCTTTGGAGCCTCTGGTGCTCTTGTTCCTCTAACATACTAGGTTCATAATGGTGTGTCTTCCTATCTACATTTCATTCTGCATAATAATGATGCACAATAATAATAATAATAATAATGAGAGGCATAGTGGTTAAAGAGCCGGCTTAACGTCCTGTCTGTTATACTGATCTCTCAGTGCTGCAGGCAAGTCTCTAAGACTACTAAGTTGCAGAAAGCACGTAGATCTGAATTGGTTGAAGGAATTTCCTCTCCTGAGAGATCCCTATACCACTGAAATCCCAAGTCTACTCCTTATCCCTAGCCCTACAATAATAGTAATAATGATAATCTCATTTTTTAAACACCCCCTGCCATTGATGGACGGAGGCTTGAAGCAGAAATTGTATACAATATCACTGCAGGCTGCAACAAGTTAATACTTACTGACTCCTAGAAAGATGGAATTAGGTGGTCAGCATCATGCAGCAGCAGCAGCAGCTCACTCTTCTTCCTAAACTAATAGGTGACAAATCTCTGTTCTGCAAAAACAAACTTCAAAGTATCTGTGAGCATACAACAAATAAACTATACTAGCACCAGAGCATTATTACAAATGAAGTATCGTATATCTTGAACATAACATTGACTCCTGAAAATTTAAGACTTTTCTGATAGATGCTGCCAGGGCTCTTAAGAACTGATGGTTAAATTTTCTGTGTGAGCGTTTACATCTTGGAAGTCAGCAAATGCTACAAATCAGAGCTTGGCTTATTGTTTGGTTGGTAGTCTGGACTTAATAAAGTGATGGAGAAAATATTAATAATTCAAATTGTACTTAAAAGTGTGTTAAGCTCTGTATTAAACACTGTAGGGACTGTAATGCTTCTGGAAAACATGGCTCCTGCCTTCTGGGAGCTCACAATCATCCTGGGGAGATAAGATTTAGAAACATATAAGAATCAGAAAATGATGCAATACTGTATATAATCAAGTTCAATTTTTTTTTATAAAAGGAGAGATTATTGTGTGCTGGAGTACTCTGGAAAGGCCCTT